AAAATTGTTCACTAAACAAATTAGACCAAAAACATTAAAATAAGAATTCCACTAGATTATTTTAATTTTAAATACATTCAACCAAAATAGTGAAACTGTATCACAATTTGTTCATGTTAAGCAATTTTATTGATACTCAAAATATATAAATCAGGCAAAAATCATATTAAGGATATTTTTAAAGGAAATAAATATAAATATTTAAGTTTAGAGACAATACTTTCAGTGATAAGTCAGTATTTCCACTAGTGTTAATTTCCACACCTGAGAATAACAATTAATACAGTGAAACATTATATGTATTAGAAAAATTTGAATTATTCCATAGGTTTTTCCAACAAGTTCAACAAAGTTTCTGCTCAGGTATCAGGCAAAATATTTTAGCAGATTCTAGATTTACATAATGGAGGGAACCTGCAAAACTGTATCTAAGCTAAACTGAAAAATTCATAGCTGTCACATACTGTTTTATTTTATATTTAACAGGGCCTGAAAGTGGTGTTTGGTCCAAAAGAAAATGGGTCTTATTCTCTTCTATCATCTGATGTGTAAATGTTGTTCACAGAAAAAGTATGGTATCCACTTTCAATGGAAAGAACACTTCAAAATGTCTGAACCACTGGATTGTAGTTTGATGATGTTATTGCATCAAATTCCCAAAGACCTGTGATACTAGAACACACACTTGACTCTAGTATCATAAAGCAAATGTCATCTTCCAAAATACCCTGGTCATGATGGTATACCACCTTAGATTTTCAAATTTGGTGAAAACCATCTTGTAAGATAAGCAATCTCTTCTTTGTAAATGGAAGACTGGAGAAGTTCCACAATATTTCAAAAATACATCCATTGTACATCTCTACAAAAACAATAACTCTTGAGGAATTTCACTTGCAAAATTATCACTTATGTAATCTTGAATAGAATCATATCTAAACTGGTAGATTTAATCTATTCCTAGAATCAATGTGAATTCCGTTCTGGACAGAGTAGATATTTTTTTTTCTCTACATCAATTTTCTGAAGACATGATACTTGATTTTTGTGGAATTGACAAAGGTCTTTGACATCATAAACTGCAATCCTCTGAAAGGTTCTGAAAAAGATAGTTATTCCAAATAAAATCTTGAGTGTTGTCATGTCTTTCCATCAGAGTATGGAAACTTTTGTTATGTTGGACACTGAAAGTTCTGATCTCTTTACTGTAACAAATAGAAAACACACACAAAAAAAGGATGTGATATGGTTCCTGTACTTTTTGCCCTTTGTCTGTTTTTTACTTTGTATTTAAAAATTTTAATACTGGAATTAACTTTCAATTTTGTTCATCATGCTAGTTATTTAATCTTGAGTGATTCAAATCTAACATCTTAACAAGAAACAGTATAACTTGTAATCTCTTGTTTGCCATGTTCAAGAGCTTATGTGTAGACTTTACTACATCTAATGCATTTGGTTTAACAATTAGTATCAAGAAAACTGAAGTGGTTCATCAACTTAAACCAATGCCAAGATCTATACATAGTGTTTGAAAACTTCACATTGTACCATCTGTGTCAATTATTGTTGATGGTAAATACTTAAATACTTAAAATCATTTTAGTACCTCAGAAGCAAAATCAACAATTCAGCTTCTCTTGACAATGGGAGCATTTATTGCATCTCCAAAGCTACAGACTGCTTTGGAAAGCTCTACTATTGGTTGTGCAATATCAGGAATTTCCGTGAAAAACCAAAATTAATGTATGCTGAGCTGTAGTAATTACAACTCTCTTTCATGGGTATGATGATAAATTACATCTGGCAGCAAGGCCTCTGATTGGGAGATTGGAGGTTTTGAGGAGTTTGAAAACACCTCTTAATTTCTGTTGTTCCCAGGTCCTCCTTGACCCAGGGGAAGTAGCACCTGTTAGGGTTTCAGTTATGGGCAAATAGTGAACACCCTAAACAAAAAACACTATGACAGTATAAAAATACATTGTTATAGTAAAAATACCAGCAATACATTTTTATATAAAAACATTACCAACAATACCTATTTACATTAGAATTATCAACAATATATTTTATCTGTAGTTGAAGGCATACAATTGCATTCAAAATATTTATATTTGGCATTAAATAAACCACAGAAGTTGATATGCCGTTAAACAAAATCAGTTAATCATGGCTTCAAATCCTGCACCCACTACTGGAACCATAATTGCCAGTATGGTGCTTTCCATAAACAATTTTAATCAGAAATATTTAATGTTAATCTGTTTTCAGGGTGTGAAATTGAAGGCATAAAGAAATTTCTAATGTAACTGCAACTTTGCTGTGCTGGTCATGTTGGGCACGTTAGTGATGAAAGGATACTGTAAATCCTCATGTATAGCCAACTCCCCCCCCCAACTCTATGATGGTTATCAGAAAGTGGGAAGACACTTGTTGAGATACAAGGACAAATTTAAGCAAGACCTAAATTCTATTGATATCCCTCTGTTGTCCTTTAAGAAAGTCACTTCTTATTGTGTCAAATGGGAGGGGGAGTGCATGCATAAAATACAACTTTTGAGAGGTCACACATTAAATATCTACAAGGCAAATACCATTCTAACATTCTTGCAGCTTTCATAAAGGGTCCTGTTACTTGTCCTATATGTGGAATGTTGTGAGGGTCTGAAGCTGGCATTAAGAGTCATCAAAAGCACAAATGCAAGTAGAATTTAAAAAGAGCTGTTTTCATTTTTATTGATAATACCAAAATATTCAGGCTGCCTCCATTAATGCAAAGGTTAACAAATTTAATAGATTTCTGAGTTTAATCCTGACTGGGTATCATTCTGCCAGGTGACTTTAGTTTATTATATTATACAAAATCCAAAGAATGAGCAGCAATGTAATCTATCCTGACTTGGTATCTCGACTTTAGTCACTTTCTCACGAATGGGACATAACTTTCCTCTGTCTTTTCTACAAATATTTTCATGGCAACCTTGCTTGGAGCAAAATGATTTTTTTTTTTTTTTTTTTTAAAAAAAGCACCTTAAATATTCTATATATACTTCAAATTACCATCTCCAGTGGTGGTAGATATCTATATACCTACACACAAACACATATTTTACTTTGTTTGTGAATAAAGAATGCTTTTAATGTGTATGCTTGGCACTGTCCTTTTTTTTTTTTTTAAATTCTTGATACTTTCAAGATGTACATGTATATTGTATGGCAATAAATATGTTCTTTTTTACTTTTATTAATTATAACTTTACTTAAATACTTGGCTATAAGAATGTTTAATAATAAAATATATATATATATATATATATATATATATATATATATATATATATATATAGTTTATATATATATTCATTTGGTGCTATATGCACTTGACACCCGGGATGAATTTAATTCTACTTTGAAATCCTGGTTGGCAACAAACTGGGTTGGTCAGTTGGCATTTGCACTGATCCTGCCCACAAGAATGTAAAAATAAACTTTAATCTGATTGGCATCTCCCTCATCACTGGTCAACTGGCAATAAATTTAGCTGAAGCAGCAGCAACAGCAGCCCAAGCTGATTATTATTCCCATTGTGTCTATTGGAAAAGTGACTGGGGTGGTGTCAATGACATATAATTCTGTTCACATTCACAAATTGAAGCTTTGCTCTCTGGGCCTGTCCTAGTTTTCACACCGTGTGCAGTGAGCGGGGTGTGATTTTATGTTGCCTTGAACTTCTTTACTGAACAGGCTGTTTAATAAAGACTTTATTCCATTGGCTTCACTTGTAAGTGTCAATAAATCTGTTGACACTAACTAGAAGAAGAAAAAAAAATTCTGTTAAGTGAGTTTGTGTGTATGTGACAGAATTTATGAATTTCTTAGTTTTTAATGGACGATTATGAAGTATTAACGAAATTTGAACTGATATTTTCTATCGTATTGTCCTATTAGTAATATTATCCTGATGAAACCATCATTTCTCTTGTTGACTTCAGTGCATTTCTACAGGAAAATCATTAGCAATAAATGTACACTATACACATATATATATATATATATATATATATAATATATACACAAACACACATAAGTCTACATAAGTTTTATTCTGCCTCTAATGGTTACCTTCATTTTCTGACCCTGTCTTCCTTTTCTTCCTGATTTTCAGTGCTTTTCTGTAGTAAAAATATAAATCACATAATATAAATGATTATATAGAAATAAACATTTCTATAGTAAAAAAAAATCCTTATTTACTTTATTAACATTTGGACTAAATTTTGTTATTACAACAATGGTTTGTATGATCAGGATTCATTCAGTTGCTTCTACTTTGTTTCTGGCTCCTCTGCCTACATTTTGATTTGAAGATGGTGAAGGCTTTCTTGAAACCTGTGTATGACAGGCTATATACAGATACACAGAAACAGTGGTCCTTCCAATTGATAAGGAAGAGAGATAAAAGATGACAGTCAAAAGAAAAGAAGGTTCATTAATGACAGGGTTAGAAAAGAAATTGAACCTTTTTATTGACTTTCACAAACCATGACAGTTCAGATATTTTCAGTCAGCATGTGCTCTACAAATGAGTAAGGACAAGAAGAGCTGGATTGGTTGGCTATTGACAAAGAATATTCTAAGTCAAAAGAAAAGTGTACATTCCTATCACTTCTGGTCTTAGACTGACCACTAAACTCTTCTCCCTACTTAATTCATTATATGCCATGCATGTGGTCAGGTCTCTTTTTGATTCATGATTGGTTTAACAAAAGATTTCCTGCAATAGTTTGCCATTACTTTCTATGGTAGGCTGGTTTCCCACCAAAGCTATAAAACCCAGTCTGTCTTGCTATTTAACCCATAACTAGGGGGAGAAGAGATGGATTCATATTTTTTTCAAAGATATTTTTACATAAGTGAATGTAACAAACTTGACTGGAATTTGAACTTGGCTCTCTCATTTCTCATTCCATTATCCATTGAACCACCCCACACATTGAAGCTTTCAGCATCTGGTATTCCAAAGTGCTCACCTATCTAGGTAATGATCAGGCTCAAAGTTGCTTACCTTCGGTGATCAGACGAAAACTGGTGTTTCAATATGATATAGCTGTAAACATCTCATCAAAGCATTAGCTTGAAATTTTCTGCATTTATTTATACTGTTTCTGTGGATTGACTTCCGCCAAGATAGTGTTTTAAATCACTTGAGGGATACAGTCATATGCTAACACAGTACTGGTTTTTATAGATTTTGTAGACAACACTGTAGTTAGCTACCCTTGTGGGTTTTTTTGTGTGCCATCATAAGTTTTATTACTTTAATTATGTAAACATAACATATAGATCATTCACTTAATGTATCCAATAACACTGGGTTGGTTTCTTTTCAGTCTAGTACAAGTGCTTTGACCTTAACCAGCAATTTGTTATTGAGGAATTATCTAACATAAATGTGAACATTTTTATTTCTTCTTTTCAGCTGCAGTAAAACTGTGTTCTTGGCCTTTTGAAATTAGCATTGTAAACTTTTATGGTGGTTCTGAAATGTAACATGACAAACACCCTCCTTCAGCTTGGCAAAACTATATTCTCAGCATTTGAAATTACTGAACACTCCTGGTATTACGCATTCTTTGTGTTGTTATCATTGACAATGTTTTCGATTAATCCATTTTATACAGTCTATAAGGAAAGAGAGGATTCTTTTGTTCTTAGACGAGAAAGCCGTTTCTTCTCTATTTGCTCAAACATTTTTCATTTGAAATAATAAAGGCACCACTTCTCTTACTTTTTATACACCTGAGCAAGTAGATTAGCCCTTTAATTAAAAAAGATGAATAGTGGCTCTGAATTAAAAATTGGAGAACTGAGTTCAAATTCTGGTTGTGTTCATTACATCCACTTATGTGTATGGGAAAGGTATGAATGCATTTCTTCTTTTCCCAGCTATGGGTTGAATAGCAAGATTTATCTGGAAAAATCATTATCACAAAAACTTGTTAAGGCAATATTTACTCCCAAAAATACATTTTATTCTTGCAATCCAAAATATGTTTTGGCTTTAAATAACCCACAATGGGTTGATAAACTGTAAAAAAAAAAAAACAAATTGGTAATAAGGAAAGAAAGAAACCAAGAATATTTAGACTGATTCGTTTAATCCACTATCAAATCACACAACAGGTTGCATGAAAGTCATAGACATTAGTTTCACAACTCCACATTTCCATTACAAGATTGCCCTCAAAGCTTCATGGATAAAGTGTTGGTTAAATGAATTGTTATAGATTGTGAGTTCAATCCTGGGTTGTACAAAATTCATACTCTAGTTCAATGGAAGTTAGATTGGTTAATTTAACAACATCTCAACCCTTTTTGGGTTATTTAGTGTCAAATATAAATCTTATAGAATAAACATCACAATATAGGTGTAGATTACACAAGAGTCTACAAACATCCACCTGGAAGGTGACCCATTTTGAAGGGGGGGTCTTACTTTTCTGCAATGTATTCCAAGCTTTGCTAAGAAGGCAATTTGGTGGAAAAGAAAAGTGACATCATTAGATAGAAATAACTTATAATGTGGAAAGAGGAATGAAAACAAACAATTCCTGTAAGTTGAATAATTTGAAATACTGCCTTGAAATCAGCATTTGGAATCTTGGCTGAAAATTCTCAGACAGTTACCAACTATGACAGAGCTGAAGAAGGTTAGAGATTGCATCAGTTGAAATGCTACAATGACACCAAACAAATCAAGGACATTAGTTTTTAATAATGCTATCTTTTTCTTGTTGGTGTAATAGTAATATTAGCCGTTTCCCTACAAGGAAACATTTGGCATTCATTGACTGAGCAACCAGTACTACTTTCTATTGAAATTTATAAAATCTTACTCTTAAAACAATTTCTTCTGGAAAGCAGGTTTCTCAAGTTCAGTAGCTGTTCTTGCTCTTCTTTCCAGTATTGATGAGGGTTTCATGCCTAACCTTTTGTTTGAAGTAGTGTGGAATGTTAACATCTTGATTATGTCATTATTTTCTCTTTGAATTACAAGTGATATCCATTTTAGCTGTTGCTATTGTTGAAAGTCCTCAAGTGATGTGGTTTCTGTTATTTGATACAGTTCTTTGTTCGTGATTCTGTAGTACCAATTCACAAGGTTCATAGTCTTCACTCACTCAAAGCTATTTTTAACCATTGATCTGAGAAAGAAGTTGTATACAGCTAACAGTTTAGATATTTCTGAATGGAATTGGTACCATGTCCATATGAAAGTCTCAATCTGACAATGTTATTTAAGTACAGTGTAACCTGGATATAAGAGAGATTTTCTCTGGTCCCAAATTAGAGCCCATACTTACCTAAACAAAATAGACCAAACCCGGATATAAGAGAAACCCGGATATAAGAGACTTCTTCTCCGGTCCCGACAACTTTCTTATATCCAGGTTACACTGTACTTAAATTTTCAGGTTAATGTTTTCGTTTTGTGCAATTTGTGGTGTCTGGCACAACTAATTCTAGTCCAGCCTAGTCTATATTCAAATTCCTTTTTTTTTCTAGACTAAATAAGGTTACTGTACTGATGTTGTTTTACATGTTTATTTAAAGCAAAAATTCTTTTCAGATGTTGCAGTTTAACATTTGCCTCATTTATTTTACTTCTGAAAAATCTTTGTTTCTCCATCATTGCTTTTTTTTTTTTTTTTTCATGCAAGTTTCCTTTTCTTTCTGTCAGCACTACTTCTGCTCTATGATGTCACGAATAAAGCCAGCTTTGACAATATCCGGGTAAGCATTCCAATAAAATTTTATTTTTTAAATGCTTCATTGCTTCCCCCACCACCAACCTCAGAAATTAAACCCTATAAGTTGGTAAGGAATATTTAAAAAATAAACTTGTAGTATTCAAATGATGGTTTCATACTTACAATAAGTTAGAATAATATATAACATAACTTTGATTTTTAATCATTTATAATCATATATATTTCATTCTATATTCCTTAGGGAATGTGTGTGTGAACAAAACTGGTTATGTGTTGGTTTAGTATCAGATAACACAATCATTGATGTATGATGCACAAAGCAATTTTTGGAATTTTTTTCTTTTCTATAAAAAGTCTATATGAGAAGTGCAGTTTCTATTAATGTGCTCACCACTGTATACCTATTGATTGATTTGTTTCAATGTGATATGGCTGTAAGCTTGTACACTTCTTGCTACGAGTATATCTCAAATGCCATTACTGGATCATCTGAACTTTACTGGGTGTAAATACATGTTATGACAGAATTAGTTCCCACATTTTAAAGGTTATGCCATTAAAAAAATAATTTTGCTGTTTAAATAAAGGGCTAAAGTTTTTATTCATTTGTTTTTTAAGATGACATCCTCCAAATGCTGGCCTCTATTTGCCATACACTATTATAGAGGATTTATAAAGTTTTCCATCGCCTGGAAGTTTGAGCCTTTGAGTTCTTCCAGGTGCCTTTCTTTAAAACGCTGAACCTGTGATCCTGAAATTTTTAACCCATTGCGGTATTGATTTTCTATCTGGAACCGCATCATTCCAACGTAACATGAACTGAGCAACGAAAGCTGTGTTGCAATTACAGATTCACTAGTCTTAAAAAAACGTTCCTACATCAAATGTACAGTGTGCATCAGTCCAAGTCATGATGGTAACTGATGGAATCTGAAAAAATGGTAAGACATTAGCTAGATGAAGATGCCATTTACACTTGCCTAACTTCGCTAGTACCACACAGGTGATAGTTTAAAATGTGGGAGGTATTTCTGCTGCACACTTTATTTAAATTTATTATTCATAGATAGAAAATTTGTAATACTTAAGTTTAGTCCACCAAAAGGCCAAAGGAGAATTTAGATAGGAGATTGTGTTACAGCATTTTGAAGTCCTTTAGCTGGGCTTGAACCTCAACCACTGGTGCTGGTGGAAAATATGCCACTATATCATCTTTGATATAATAAGCCTTTTATAGATACAGATATTTACTATGCTTAACTTACTCTGGTAAAAGTCCAAGTAATTTATGAGTTAGGAAAATTGTATTGTGTCAATTTCCTGCCTGCCTTGAAAATCATCATTCAAAATCCTGGCTTTTTTTTTTTTTTTTTTCCTAGGCTTTAATACTGACCCTCTAGGCTCTGGTAGGAAATATGTGACTATCAGCCATTAAGATTGTATTATGTCAATTTCCTGCCTGTATTGAAAATCAATATTTGAAATACTGCCTTGAAAATCAGCATTTGGAATCCTGGCTTCTTTTTTTTTTTTTTTTTTTTTTTCCTACACTTTAACACCGGCCCGTGGCACTGGTGGGAAATATGTGACTATCTCAGCCACTAAACAGGCTGACATTAGTTGAATTCTTTTCTTCTTGTAGGCTTGGCTGACAGAAATCAACGAATATGCTCAAGATGATGTGGTGATCATGTTGTTAGGAAACAAAGCTGATATGGGTGGAGACAAAATAATCAGACGTGAAGATGGAGAACGGCTAGCAAGGGTAAGGGTTAAGATGAATGCCATAACTGCCCCTGTTAACTTGGTGGTATGTGTGTGTGTCTGTGTGCGCATGTGTGTGTTATGAGAGTTTTGGTCATATTTGAAAAGCACTTTGACATTTTCGCTTTTTGTAGTGTAATACTCACCTAATTTGTCTATTGAAACTGTTTTTTTCATCTACACCTACTGCTTCTTCCCCCCTCTGTCATTTTGGCTTTAACCCTCTGCTTTCATTTTTTTTGTCTGTCACTTCTTTCTGTCTGTCACTTCTTTCTGTCTTAATCTTCTCCACTTGCTGATTGGCCAGCAACTGCTAGGTGAGGAATTCTACAATCGAAGTACAGAAGGATGGCATTACACCAGACGCAAATCCAGGATTTTGAAAAATTTCTACAGGATGCATGTTGATCAATATCTTGGTGGGAATTTCTTTATGGTCAATTTATAATTAATTTAATAAATTTGTCTGTTTATTTATAACACTCCTTTATAACATTTATTTAGCTACTAAATCCACAATAGTTCAATTGACTTCTCTAATTGACCAATTCAAGAGTTTCATGTCAAAACCCTCATCAAGGCTAGATGTTCTATAAATATTTATTGAATGTCTGGCTCTGAGTAGCATTTCAATCAATCAGATAAATTAATTAAACTTTTGTATTAATTTTTATTTTATTTTTTTACAGTGGGGTTTAATCTGTACAAGGCCTGGAGTTACTCAAGGTAGAGGATTACATTAAGGGGTAGGTAGTTTATATGGATAGGAGGGAAAGATAACAGTTAACTCTAGACTTGAACAGGTTAAGATTGTAGTAACTGGGGAAACATCTTCTAGGGAGTCTTCTTGCCAATTGAATATGGAGGGAATGTGGATAGTTTGCTATTATGTAAGTGGCATGGCAGCTTCTAGTCTGGAAGGGTTAGACCTGGTGGGACCAAGAAATATAGTTTGTCTGAGCATTTTCTATGGTAGTAGTGGTAGAGCAGTAACAGACTTGTCCCATCCCGTCCGTGAGAGAGAGAGAGAGAGAGGTTGGAAGGTGGAAAATAATTCTTCTCCAACAAGGGCTTGGAGACACTTTTGAACTTTGTCAAGACTAGAAAGTGTGGACTGGGCAGCTCCTGTCCAAATATAGCAACACTACTCCATTTTCAGTTTGATCTGGCTCTTATAAGGTAGAAGATAGCATGAGGAGTCAGGTACTAACTAGAGCAGTACAGGGAGACAATTATTTTACCTGCATCTTTAGCAATAGATCATGTATAGTAGTTCTACTTTGAAGTCTGGTGTGAGTTTGGTCCAAGTGACAGGGAAAGGGGGCCTTGAGGGGACATCTGTTCATCATGAACAGCAGTAGTTGGTGTCTAATCAGTGGTGATGGTATGTAACCAGTTCAATCTTAGAGGCATTGAATGTAATCAGTCAGTTTTTTTCCCACTGATAAGTTAGTGTTAGATCAGAAGAGAGGTCAGCTGCCAATCTTTGATCATCAAGAGGTTATTTTATTGAATATTATAGTGCTAGTTATATCTATTGAACACTTTTTGGTAGAAGTTGGCATGAAAAATACATTACATTCTCGTAATATTCATGTATTTTTTTTTAGTTGTGATATTTAAACAAATTTTTAAAAATTGGGCTCTGTCTTAGCAGTGGGGGTAGGGGCTCAGCTCTTCTAGATTGTTTCCTGTACACAAGCTTCCCACTGTTTCTCTCTAGGATTTTAGAATATGGCAATTATAGCCATATAATGGCAGATTTTAGAAGCTTCCAATTAAAGAGTTTTGTCATGGAATTTTGAAATATTTTTAACACAAAATGTAATGTTATACGGGTGTGTGACTTAGTGTTCAGTGCTCCAACTATGAGATCTCGGTTCAGATCTCACCATGGTCAATTTGTCTTCTTGATAATATATAGCACCATAACATTGGTCGACACAAGCCTTGTGAGTCAAATTGAGTAAGTGAAACTGTTTGGAAATGATTGTACTAGCATAAAGTCACAAGTCATCGTGACTGAGGGTTTGAATATACTGACCTTTTTGAACTACTGGTCATGCTAGATGGTGTATTCTTTCCCAGAAATTGTAACTAAGGTCTGCTTAGCATATGATTGTATTAGCATAAAGTCACAAGTCATCATGACTGAGGGTTTGAATATACTGACCTTTTTGAACTACTGGTCATGCCAGATGGTGTGTTCTTTCCCAGAAATTGTAACTAAGGTCTGCTCAGCATATTTGCAGTATAAACCACAGGTTAGCTCTGGGGGTGATGAAGAAGCGCAAATGTACCTGAACAGGTGTCTGCAACTGGGATTAGCTAGCCACTTCAGCAGACAAGTAGTCAGCAATTTACTTTACATACTTTACTTATAATTAGAGTAGCGGAAAATACTAAACCATATAGAAGAAGCATTTCTCGTACATTATACTGAATAAAAAACTTTCTTATTAGTCCTTTAAGTATCTTTGCATCAAACAATGAGTTGCCTTTTCTTCAATACTGTTTTGGATCCAAAGTTTCGAATAAAGCAGGATCTGCTACCATGGTTGTTTGTAACAAAAAGTAAATGAGACTGCCTGATGATACTCCTGTTTTTTTTTACAGCAGAACCGCAAGCCATGAGGATCACCTTTGAACCTAAGAAAAGGAGAAAACTCCCTATCCTCTCTGGTTGCTATGAAAGAAAAAGAAACTGACCACCCTAACATTGCAGATATGCTGGACACTTATAACAACCTGGTGAAATTACAAAATTCTGTTCTTTTATCATGGTACCAGGCTCTGTTGTCATAATGGGTAATGAGAAAGTAGACGAACTAGCCAAAACAAAACCTGTAACATGGAAATAATATAAAAATTCTGTATACAGATTTTTAAAAGAAAATTAACAACTTTATAAAAAGCAAACAGCAAGCAATATGGGACACACATTCCCAGAAAACAAACTTTACGTACACCAACCAAGCATCAGACAGGAAAAACACAAAACTAGTAAAAGAGCAAAGAGAGGACACTCTGTGCTAACGAGAGTTTGTATTGGACACACATCTTCAGCTCTTAGCAGGTGCACACAAGTTAATGTTGTATCTTGATGCACATTTTGATTGAATGCACAAGCCATCAGCTTAAACATAGTAAATACTACAATGTCTCAAGTATAAAAACATTGTTTAAAGATGTTGCACCTCTGGCAGGATAATAGGGTTTCTACAAGAAATTGAAATTTTTAATTTCTTTAAAAATTGTTTATGTATGGGTAGATAAGAAAGACTGGTTTAAATGGATTCAAAATGATAGATTAAACAATCTATTTAAAACAAATTGTAGCTACCTAAACTGAGCTTCACTATCTATTAGAAAAAAGAGAAATGTATGTGTATTCAATTGGTTGGCATAAAATGACCAATCAGGGTTAACATATTGGTAAATGAAACCAATCTTCAACATTGTTATTGATTTGAGTTTATTTATTTTCTTCTTTCAGGACCACAATGTGGCCTTTATGGAAACCAGTGCCAAGACAGGCATGAACGTAGATTTAGCATTCATGGCAATTGCAAAGTAAGTTTTTGAGCCTTAAAAAAGATTTGTGTTTTGTCAAAAAAGAAAAAAAAAAATGGTTGACCAGGGTAATTTCAGGAAAATAAGTTTTAAGGTGAGCAGTCTTTGGAATTAAAGTACTCAATGTCAAGAGAATTAACAGTAACAAATGAAATTAAATATTAATTTATTTGTCCCTACTAACAAAATCCAACTTGACAGAAACATCTAATACAGAATTTATACATTTCAGTGTTTCAGTCAGACGAAAGGCACGAAACAGGAGTCATATTTTGATAATTTATATTAAATTTAAGTAACAATATATTTTAAACAAATATTTGTTATTTTTTAAGTAAGAACCTAACTTTTATATATATATATATATATATATATATATATATATATATATATATGAATAAAATTTTTTATAAACCTCCTTTTTGTCCTGCTTTTAGTTTCAATTTAACACCTCATTCTTCATATAACCCCAATTTAGTGTCATAAGGTTAATATCTGGGTTTAATTTTATAAAACCTCTTTCCTTTAAGGCTAATACCTTCCACCCTCCCCTTACCACCAACTTGGGCATATCGTCTGACTGAAACATTGAAATGAATAAATTCTGTATCAATCTTTCGACTGCTGTCAAAGTTAAATTTCTAATTCTGGCATGAACACAGTCTATACACCAGGGTTGAATAAGACTGATGTACTTCTTGTTGGTTGAAATAGATCTATACTTCCCCACCCATGTGAGGTAATTTTGGATTTTGTTGTATAATTAATATATATTAGTGAACTTATTGGATTTAGGAGTATGTTTGTGTGTGTGTATATATATATATATATATATATATATATATATATACCATAAGTTCACAAATCCCTATCCCTGTATATCACTTATCTAAAACTTTAAGCCAACTGATCCTACCAAACAAATAATGTTAATTCCAACAACAAATTTCTTTGAAAACTGCACTTGAATAAACCAGCCACCACTGTACCCTCATCAGATGATGAATGTTTTTTGCTAAATCTCTTGTCAAAGAAACTATAAACATAGATAAATTATGGATAAAACAGATATAAGCATTCTTCACACTCCTAACCTTGAATCAACAATATTATATAAACTTCTATTTTACATGAGTGCTTTTTTTATTATGGTAACATTTACTCACAAAATGATGGCATAGCAGTGGATTTACCTCTCAGTTCCACTTTATCCAATTTCTACATGACTTAAGTAGAAAACAAAACTTTAACAGTCTTGCCAAACCTATGGTATCTTATATATAAAGTACAGTGTGTGCTTGTGCATGTGTGTATCCAAGCAACTCCTCTGCTCCCACTGGTCCAATTTCAATGGTTCATAGCTCATTCAAAAGTCCTAGAAAAGTTAGGTGCATGGAGCAATTTTCATTGAGCTCAGATTCAGGGTTGCCAGATTATGCAAGGTTAAAAACATATATTAATATATTATACTAGCCATTATCATTGCTTTCATGTTTCAAGGGATGTAACTCTTATTTTCCATTTAAAATTTTTGTTTCAAAGATATCAAGTAGTATATATATCTTACTTTGTGAAGAAATAGCAAGCAGGCAAAGCCTGCTACTATGTTATATACTAAAGAAAAACTTAGACAAAATAATAAACCTTAAAGAAAACTTTGAAGAACACTCCATTTTACAGTTACTTATGAACTCAACATTAATGAGTGAATTTCTTTCTGTGATGTTTTAGTCGGTGTCAGCAGTCATAATTTTAATACATCATTGTATAAAAAACTCTAGCGAACATTCATGTCTTAATTCTGAAAATGAATGTCTTCACAGATATAAAATAGCTGTTATAAAACATAATTAACCAAGCCAAAATAATTTCTATCATGGACACATTTTGTAAAGAATTGAGCAACATAGAACAAACACACATCAACAATAATTACCTTAACCATATCATTGATGATCAAATAAAATTATCTTTAAAGAATTTAAAAGAAAAATAACACTGGCACTCATGTTGATATTGTTGTGGAGTGATTTCACAGTGCAGGCTTGTATTTGTACTAAGTCGGTCCTAAAATAGGTTCAACGAACAAAACGTTAGGAACTTGATATAATAGGTATATCGCAGAGTAATCTAGTTGTGGTTGCTGATACTTTAGCATTCGACTAACGGTCGTGTGGCATCAACTGACTCACCGACTCACTGAGCGACTTCCATGTTACTCTTACTACTCCTACTTATTATAGGTGGGAGAGTCTATTAACTATAGAATAGGTGTGTTCCACTATAACAGATATAAACAAAAATACACTCATAATTATAAACAAACAAGATGAATACATCATTAAAAATATAATTTGTCAGTAGATATCACTTAATAATTCTATAAATTCCTTAGAGTTATCATTTATTATAAAAAAAAAATGACAGCCATCTGTCCTAATAATTATCAATAAAAAGGGGCCTCAAAAATCCCCTTCCCCACTATTTAAAAAACAATGTTAATGAATTCTTTGAGAGATTGCATCTCTAATATTAACAATAAAAAAACATTAAATTCTTACATTGGCCACACAAGCAAGCACCACACTTACTCATAGGTGAACTTGCCATTTAGCATTTGTTCTTGTACATATTGATCATCACATCACAAAGAACTAAAATATAACTATCAAAAGACAAATATTAGTTGATAATACCAAAGATATTATGCAGCACTCACTGCAAAGAAAAAACTCAAAATACTCAAAGCTTTTATTCTACAAAAGAAGCAACCGGCAATTAGATAAGATATAGTTAATCACAGGAGAAGATATTTTAAAGTATAAGTGTATAAAATATTTGATATGCATATAAAATAATAAAATAAAATATGTAATACATTCCTTTTCTGATGCAATCATGCTCTGCAAAACCATTCTAAACTTATATGGTACATGTATATTTAATATGAAATGTAGACTTTATAAAAATACCAGGATGTCATCAACAGAATATTGTATACAATATTGACAACATTCAGTTCTTGATAATGGCTGTGATGAAAAATATGGGAATATGAATTTTGGCTTGTTTGTCCGCAATATTGATTTGGATGTACAACAATTTATTTGAAATGTTGTTAAAATACAATAAAAAATTAAGCAGACTTTGTTGGTTGAATTTAACAAAATATTTTTCAATGAATTCTTATGGCCCTATATATATATATATATATAAAATATAGGTCTGGCCAAAAAGTATTGGGACTGGTGCTATAAAAAAAAATCTATAACACATAACAATTCAGCATTTCATCTTCAAAATAGTTCCCTTGTGATACCACACACTTTATCCAGCATTATTTCCATTGATGATAACATATCTGAAGCAATTTTTTTTTAATTTCCTCAACATCTAGAAATTTTGTCCCTTTCAAGTGGGATTTGATTTTTGGAAAGAGGAAAACTCACAAAGGATAAGATCTGGAGAATATGGTTATTCTCGGATGTGGGGTATGTTGTGTTTATCCAAATACTGCTACAGAAGCCATGGTCACTGATGGAACATCTGTAGTGTGGTAGAACAACCACACTCTACTCACTTTCCTTCCAAGAACTGCTATAAACCATGGAAGGGAATGAGAATGTTTATAATTTGGTGTGCATGCACAACAAAGTTCAAGATCTGTGACAAGCGACTTCACTCTACATACTTTAACTCCATTACAATAGCAACAGTTTGACTAAAATCACACACACACACATATATATAATTAATATAAGTAAAAGTTTGTTACTTAGCTGATTGATATTACCTTCAGCATGCTGACTCTAGTTTCATAGCTGGACATGTCCATCCACTCTTCAGTGGATATTAGCAATTTACTGCTTCTATTTTTTTTTCTTTTCATATACATTTAAAATTGTAATTTTTTTTTTTTTTTTTTGTGTGTGCATGCAGCCATCTCTGCGGTTGTGTGTTTGCACATCTACGCAGAGATGCATACATGTAGGGTATCATGATTATTTGTCCTATGCATTTTTTTTGTTTTTTGTTCACTTTTCACTTGATTTTCGTTTTTTTTTATTCTTTTTTAGAGACTTTTTTATATGTATTCAGTATGTAAGTCATTTTAATCCATAATGGCAGGGTATATTCTTTTTAAGCAAAATTGTGTGTGTATGAATATTTACTTGATGCCCCACTGAGTCAGGATGTGACACAATGTTGGTTTTAATGTGGGGGGGGGGGACCCGAGTGGAAACACTCAGGCCACTGATCTTAGCTGGTCAGAGCTGGTCTAAGCTAGTCATAGCCATGATACTACCAGCAACAGGGCCAGAGATTTGTGTGCGTGTACCTGACTTGACTTGAAACTCAGCTATCCAATTACCAATTCTGAGCTGTTATCCATTAACACTACTCACATATACAAATTTACATCACTTGATATTTCCAAGTGGTCACATATCTAGGTAATGACCGGCTTAACTTTGGAGATCATACAGGAACCAATGTTTCAACATGATATTGCCGTAAATCTAAAAAGAGTAAAAGAAACAATGTTTTACTCAGCAAAAGATTGCGTAAATAAAAAAAAAAAATATACATATTTTCATTATTTCTGTTACATCCTTTTAATTTATAAAATTAAAAAAAAATCCTCTCAAATTGGTTGAAAAGAGTGATTAGATAAAGGGTTAAGGGAGATAACTCAGTTCATCAAAATGATGTGAGACCGTGTTTGTTGTGGATGGTATTTTGGCCCGCAGACATTGAATGACAAAAGACAACAAACAAAACAAAGACTTGAGCAAAAAATATATTGCCAAGTTTATTTTCATTCAAGAAAATATATCAACAAAAATAAGGTTACAGTGCACTTGGCAAAAAATATCTCCTCATGCACACCCCCTGGTAAGAAGAACGTTGTCCTGAAAAGGACAGTCTATTGCATATCATTGCTGCTGGTGAAGATTATAATAGCTGGCTGATAGCTGGATCTACTGCTGACAGCTAGAACTGTGAGCTGGCTAGAGGCTGCTGGAACAGATACTACACTATGATCCTACTCATCTGGGCCATGGAAGGTAGTATTTACTCAGTCTCCACACTAAGATGTGATGTGACACAGGTTTAATGTAGGGAGCCCAAGCATGTGCACCTGGTCCAGGGGCAAAAATTGGTGGCACTGGCATTAGTATGACTAATCTCACTAAAACTTAAATTAATATAGTCCACTTCACATTCCTCCCTGGTCTTTTGAACAGGAGTAGAGGTTTATCCCTTGTTTCCTGCTTATTATTGGGTTTCCAGTTCCTTCTAAAGTCTTTTTATTTCTCTTTCACTTCTAATAGCCCCTTGCATCTTTGGGGCATTATTGCTTTGATTTGGATGATTTGTTAAAAAAAAAATACATTTTACTGTTTACCTGGTTAATCCATTGTTAAATCTTGACAAGCATTTATTCTATGGTTGTTAGCGTGCTTGATTTCTGAACTATTCCCAGTGTAATGAATTTCATTCTGATAAGATGCTTCATTATTGCAGCTTTGTACTTGTGGAATAATCCACGTTACCTTTTCACCCCTTTGCAGAACAATCCATTCTTACACCCACACACCTGTTATCCAATCAAAACACTAGTTCTGACAAACTCAATTTCTCATTGGCTAACAGCCTTAAAAAACTAAGTATGCACGTGAAAAATGCCTTTGGTGCTCAAATGTGTTTGAGCCTATTTTTCCTTTCCAGAACCTCTAAAAGAAAGAAATTCAAACCAACTTACCAGTCAGAATTCCACACTCAGAGAGATGCCAACCAATTCCACTCTGACTCAACAACCTTTTGGCATACTCAATCTCTCTTTTAAACAAACTTTGCAAAAATTCATTTACTTTACTTGAGAAAGTGAAATATATATTCACTACATATTATTAACAGTAACAAAAAAAACTTTTAACAACAGTTCAAGGTACGCAACTTTGTACAACTTAAGAATATTTTACATAACACTCGTATACACACACTAATATTTGAACTGTAAAATCAAACACTTTTGTACGTTGAACAGCAAACTGTTTAATTCTTACAACAAATCATCAAAACACTGATTTAAGCATTCAAACATACTCAACAACAAACTTCATGTCTTATTACATCAACATACAACAAACCACTAATTCATAACTCATTTGTATATATTTAAATTGTATATAAATTACCGTATTGTGTATTTTACTTGTCTTCGTTTTTAACTCTGCTTTGTATGACCTGTTCTAAATATTTGTTTATTATTTGTTGTGGATGAATGTTAATGAACACGCCACCTAAAAATTCCTTCTGATTTAACCAAACACATTCACTAATCCCCAGCATACTAGACTAACATATAGTATAATGACTAATCTTTATAGGTTGTATATATTTGACCCATATAAAAGTTTTAATTGAAATTTATTTATAATAATGAATGATGGCAAAAAGGCCTTAAAATTGAATAATGATTTGTTTTTATCTTTTTCAGAGATTTGAAGATGAAAAGGACCCGAAAACCAGATGAACCTGCCTTCAATGTGGCTGAATATGTGCAGCAGGAGAACACAATCAAAGTGGGTGGTTGCTGTTGAGAAGATTTAAGTCACTCCCTTCCCCTTGGTACAAAGAGTCAGAGGTCAGGGCCTCTGAACTTTGACACATTTCTCTTCACCTTCACAAACCTTGGCTATTTCTTCTCCATTTGAGAACATTGTTATATCTCAGGCTGCTGCCACTGTTGCATGTGCTGCTGCTGCTGCACCACTGGCTGCAATTAAGTGCAGCCAGGCAAAAAAAAAAAGAAAACAATTTTTGGGTTTAGACAATCTTTCCCATGAATATGTCAAAATTTGTACATGGCCATTCCTTGTTATTTTGTGTCTGTAGAACAAAAGTTTTTGTCTTTTTTAGCCCCCTTGGAGGTGGGCAGTTTGAAGCAAAATTTTTGTTGCTTTTAATTGAGGGCAAAAAACAATCCCCTTTCCTCTCTCTCTCTCTCTCATTTCTTCTCCTCCTCTCCTTCTTTTTTTTTTCTATTTCTCTTAAAACAACTTTCAACTCTTACAACTATTTGTCCACTTTGCTTTCAAGCAGTGCCACTATTCCAACTGTCTTTCTTCTTTGACAAATCTCACTTAGAGAAACTGATTCAATCTAGAAATATTTTCATTGAACTGAATCACATTAATACTTTGCGTATTCATTTATTTTTTGAATCTTTGTTAATAGTGCGTAATGGCATTTTTTGGAGACTCTTGAGTTATCTCCCTTACCTATATTCTTTTTTTTTTTTTTTTGAGAAATAGCTCAATACTTTCTATTCTAGTCTCTATTTGTGATCGGTTCTGACACGCTGACAATAGTTATCTCTTTTACTTTCTCCCCCTCCCCTCTCAAAAATATATTATTTTACTTTCTTCTTTTTTTTTTTCCACTCATACTGTTTATTGTGGTTGCTTTTGCTGGTCTTATTGACAAAGTTTTACTTTATCTCCCAATGATTACAATGATGCTATTGCTACACTAATAGAAAAAATAAAGATGAAGAGACAAGAATTTTTTTACTTTTAAGATTATTATTACAAGCCTCAAAATTCTGGGGCCTAATTTTGCTTGTCCTAAAGAATATGCAATCAATATAGCCATCACAGAAGAGCCTATCTATATATTGGTTGCATATTTTGCATGTGTGCCATTGTGGTCAGTGTATAAATCCAGACTAAGTTTGAGATTTCAAATGCTGATTTTCAAGGCAGGCAAGCAGGCTTTCTTTTCTTGCCCCCACCAATCCCTCCCAAAATTGAATTAATCTATGCTTAGTTAATATGAAAAAAGATTAAACCAAAAAGAAATTAATTAATTTCTAGACAATAGTTGATTTATTTTGTTTCATGTTCTGTGAAAAATTCAGTCAAGAGTTATTTGAACTATTGAGCTCATTCTTTGTGTCATTTTTGTTGTTGCTATAAGACTTCAGCCAATCCTTTCTCCCCCTACCTTCACGTATACAATCCATGGATTCTCTGTCTTTTGTTCTATTTTTTCTCCCCACCCTTTTTATTTTTGCAGATTGTGTACTTGAGGAAGGCCAAAGAATAAATCAGCTGAAACATTATGGTATCAGTAAAATGAATAAGACCAAGTGTCCAAACAGTTACAGGATGCTTGTTTCCAGGCCCATCACTAGGAAGCAGGGAGACCAGAAAATCATTATTGCCCTCTTCTCACGATGTGAATTAAGTTTAGTGTGTAAATTATCACTCAAGGGCCCTCAGACTTAAATCTCCCCTCTCCTCAAAACACTAACAACAGACATGTTTGTTTTGCCAAATTATTTCTTTCGATTTTAATCTAATGTTAATACTAGAAGTCATACGTTCAACAGTCACCCGATGAAGGTTGGAGATTATCTGCCAAAATGTTACCTTGTAAATAATAACAAAAAACAAAATGGTTATATCTTCTGTTGTTGTTTCTGTTGTTGAGAATGAGTGTCTTTCTGACATTGTTTCCGTTACTGCCATGACTCTTCTTCGTAGTGCCTCCATCAAATGAGGGTCAATGTTGAAAGCAATAAGCTAGCTTCCTCTTCAGTTCATTAAGAACTAAACCAAATACCTAATTCTAATGTGGACAAATATTCTATTTCCTGGACTCCCTCAGGAAGGCCTATTTTTCTCTTTGCTTTCTGCAGTTTTTAGCCCTCAAGCTAGAAAACCCTCAATGGAAAGCGTGCATGTGTGCATGCAAGAGACAAAGAAACATTAAATTGTTCGTTTTTGGCATTTGTGATAATTTTTCTCTGTACAAAAGAAAAACAAAACAAAAAACACATAATCATGGGATGGATTCTTCTTTCAATAGGATAAACAAAATATAAGCAAAATATACAAAAAACTCTTATGAAATTTGGTGGCAATGATTTGTTGTTAGTTGTTATATTTGTTTTTTGTCATTTTTTTTTTTTTGTTATATTTTTGCTGTTGTTATTTCAGGCTTGTCAAAACCCCACCCACCCAAAATGGACTGATACTACCCTCCACCCGACATCTTTCATACAGTCCCTTTTAATTTGAAGATGTTTATTTTATTAAGAATTAATTTGACACTAATGGCACATCTTGGTAAAAAGAAATGACGGATTTACATAAAATCACTTTTGATGGGCATATACAGACATTGACGGGGAAGAATGAGTTGCAACATGTGATTGCTTGTGCTGCTGTTGGACATGCATGAGTGAGAAAAAGGGAAAAGGAAGACTGTTTGGATTTTATCAGAGAACCAGAAAAAAACAAAAAAAACACTGAATTTCTACCTGGGATGAAGAGTTATTATTTACCATTTTACTAATGTCCTCATCTTTGTTGCTACTATCACAATGTTTCAGCTATTGTGCACCCCCCTCTGCCAGCCTTCTTTAGATGTCTGTTGATTTAGGTAAGCTTCAATGAATTTAAAACTGAACATTTTATTTAATCTATAGGGTCTAGATTGTTCTCATTTTGCTGTTCATGTCTAGGGATATCATCGCTTGTTCTTTTTCAGTACAGCTTAGTTATTGCTCTGTGGAGCCTGAGTTTGTACTTCTCAGCTTGGGGATTTTGCCACCAAATTCATGAGCAATAACTGTGCAGTACCAAAAAAAGAGAAGACCTTCTTCGACATGGACAGAAGGTCAATTTTTAATATTACACCTGTCTCCCTTGTTGACCTAATACACATGATCAATTCCGCCTTACTCCACTATCATTGGCCAGTTGGCTACTTAAAGTGCATAAAATAACAGTCAGGGATGAGATGGAGGTAAAATTAAAATAATTAATGATGGTAGGGTTCAGCTTGAAATTCATTTAAGGGTACTTGGATTGACAGGCACCTGAAGAAATTTTTTTTTGGGGGGGGGGTATAACAGTTATAATAACAACAAAGATGAGGACATTAGCCTGAATATAAATAATTTAAATAAAGTACGAACTTGATTCAAGAATACTCAAAATACAATTTTATAAAGAATCTTTCATTAGAAAGATTCTTTTTAAAAAAATATTTTGAATGCTCAATTGTATTTTCTATAAATATATATGTGCATAGAAAAGCACAAATTCTGAAACTTAGTCTAGCACACGAGTTAGGAATGGGTTCATTACACAACAGTTCTTTCTAATCAACACCCCACAATGGGGAATCTCTTCTGCATACACACACACATGGGCACATATATTCATATACATATTGGCTGCCTACAATAGTACAGTTGTTTAAAAACTAGTTACAAATTATTTGTGTAGTTACACACAATAGTAGCCTTGTGACAGACTAAATGGAGCATCAACTTAAATACGAATATTCACTAAAAAATAATGTTTAAAGTGATCTCACTTTAAACATTATCACCAAATTATCTCATTCTCTAAATAATTTCAAAAAACAATTTTCTTTTAATTCTTAAACACACACACATTATATATATATATATATATATATATATATATATATATATATATATATATATGTGTATATATATATATATATATATATATATGTGTGTGTGTGTTTATATATGAATTAAAAGAAAATTGTTTTTTGAAATTATTTAGAGAATGAGATAATTTGGTCATTCATGAAAAAAATGTATCGTTTATTTATTTCATTCCAACACTTTTCAATGATTTAAATGGTGAGGAGGAATGACAATATTTTGATGTGAGCCCTTGACAAATCTTTGCAGATTGTCTGCTTCCGAAAAATAATCAAAGATCTCAACCGATCTGTGACTGCACCAATTTCATGTTGACCAAAGAAGAAACCTTCCTAGCTTCTGTTATTAAAGAAACATGTGAACACTTGCCTATGAAGAGGAGTAAAGTGTTGGTAAATGCTAAAGTCTGGAGTTGGATTAATTTTCAAATTTTTTTTCAAAGCCACAATGTTTCTTTTCAATCTTCTCCGTACATATAAAACAGTATTTGCCTTCCTCATCCTAATTGCTTGTTATCTATTAATATTTAATTGTAATTCTCTCATTTTATTATCTCCAAGGTCAGTTAAGTCACTTGAGTAACCATTTAAGCTGACACACAATTCTCAAAAAGTCACTTTTTTGTAAATGGGATTTTTCAGCCTTTCTCCTCAGCCTTTCATTGTCACTGATTATGTTCTTTTCACCTATTTACCTAAGTACCGTATATTTTTGTATATAAGACGACCTTTAAATCCCCAAAATCACCCTTAAAAATTGGAGGTTATCTTGCACCACAATTCTAAAAAAAAGAAACCTTAAATTCTCAGTGATGTTTTGTCAATAGGCTAACCTTGGTCTTGGTGTGATAACCAATGACATACATGAAAAGATTCACATTATCAAATAAACTGATAATAAAAGTAATAAAACCATTTCTAACTTATATATTACTGCCATGAGTTCATAATAAATTGCGTATTTGAAGAATAATTCCATATCAATGAAATCAACTTGTATCCATGCAAGCTCAGCTGAGAAAAAAATGTAAACATCGAGTTATGATTCTGTCACATTGAATTTTCTACCAGTAGCACAATTGTTCAATTCTTTGGCTACTTGAATAACTTTCAATTTAAACCTCGCTTCATACTTTCTTTGTTTTGCCCATGATTCCATGATTGATATGGATATAAGTTAAGAAATTTCAACTGGCTTAAACAGAAGTTAGGAACAGACTGAATAAAAAAAAAAATAAAGAATTAATACACCAGACTGTAACTGTTTAGATACAGGAAAAGAAGAAGCATCAGTCTTCACAAAGAGATCATGTGATGAAGCATCAACAAAATAATGTTTTTCCCTTGTAGGAAAAACATGATATAGAATCTATTTTGTTATTTTGAATTTCTAAGGATACAGTAACATTTCTAATAAGCATTTGTCTTATACTACAGGGTAAATTTACTATAATAATTTACTTATTACTATAGGGTAAATTTGTGAAAATTTGCTGTTTTTTGACCTTGTCTTATCTAAAGGTCGCCTTATATATGGAAATATACAGTAAATCTCTTTTATTCAAAGTCGGGTCATAGTTGTCCTTGAGACAATTTTGACACCACATTTTTTTCCCACCCAAATCTCAAATTAACATTAAGCATATTTACTTACATTAACACTTATTAATTATTATTTAATTTTTATAATCATTATTATTAGTTAATTTTACTAATATAAGCATTAATTAATCAAAATGATTATACAAAATTAACTGTAAAATATTAACTAATAAGTCATATATATAAAATTAATCCAGAAATTAAATATAACACACGCAAAAAAAAAACTGCTGATTCAGCAAATATATTTTTATCAGAAATTTTTGCCTTTTCTTTTTCTCTCCTTGCCCATAATGCCTTTTTCTCTTCCCCCCATTAAGTGCCCCCCCTTTTTTAGCCCCCTCTCTCTCCAGTGTCCTCCCCCAGTTTTTTTCTTCTCATCCTCCTCCCCATTTTTTCTTGCCAGTATGTCATCTGTTTTTTTTTATCTAAGTGCCCCCATTTTTCTTTGCCTCCCCATTTTTCACATCCCCCCCTGCCCCCTATTTTACTCTATTTCCTTTCTCCTTACCATCACTGTTTTTCTCTTTCCTTGCTAGTATGTCCTTTTTTTTTTTTTTTTTTCTTCCTCATCTTTATTTTTCTCCCCTCCCCAATGTTTCCTCTTTACCCCTGCTCCCTATTTTTCTCTCTTTCTCATCGCTGGAGTCTCTCTGGATATTTTGAGTTCTGTGTGAGAGCCTGATGTGCAAACTGTGGAGCCTTTTGCACCTTCACAAAACTGGTAGAAGGAGAAACTGTTTAATTTTTCACGTTTTTCTTCCATCCTTCATTGTACAATGGGTTAACAGGAGCTGCACCCAACCCTGCCTTTCCTTCAGGTACGGATTTCAAAATACATCACAACCAGCAAGAAAGGAAAGAGATGAACATTTGTAAGACGCTGTCATCATTCACTAAGGTCAGATTGTGTTCACAGAAAAATATTCCCTGACACTTATGCTTGTTATTCTCTGTTGAAGATATTTTGTAACTGATAAAACTTATTTCATTTCACAACTGGATCTTAATCTTTGTTCCTTTGTTTAAAAAAAACAAAAAACAAAAAACACACACACAATTGTTCAACACCTTTCCAACTCAGTATTGCTTAGCATAGTCTAAGATATCTGTCTATATTTCTGAGATGAGGTATTTTAATTATTTACATTGAGCTGTTGTCCTCATCACAATGTTTCAGCCTTTGTATACTTTAGCCTTCTTCAGGTGATTGGAATTTCAAACTGAACCCTTTATTTCATCCAAGGGGGTAGATTAAGGTCACATGGCCCAGTAGATAAAAAGCATTGGTTGAAGTAATCCTGTGACTTGACCCAAAGAGTTGAGAGTTCAATACCTGACCACAGCAGAGGGGAACAAAAACTTGGAGAGTTGAGTCAAATGGAAATAACTGAAACTAAGATGTCCAGAAGAGGTATGTGGAACTAGAACCACCTATCCCAGTGGACAAAATAAAGGGTTTGGTTTGAAATTCCAGTCACCTGAAGAAGGCCATAGTGTACAACAGTCAAAATGTTGTGAATATGACAGCAAAGATCAAATAGTCTAAGATGGTGTTCAAAATTAATTTTTTTTTTTTTTAAATCACTCCTGGGTATGTGGGTGTTCAATAACTATGCAAAATCCGTTTCTGCTGTGTTTTGAAATGCCACAAAGGAACCTGGAAAAATAATTTTCTTACAATGTTGGATAAACATGGAAGACATTTTAGTTTTACTCTGTAAATATTCAAATTTTTTTTTTTTTTCTTTCTCTTTTGTCTCCAGCTTTGACATGCAATTTCATTTATTTTCCCCTTCTGTATTATCTATTTTACATATCCATTAATAAAAATGTGTCATTTGTGATTTTGAGACTTTGTATTTGTTTCATTTTAAGTGATTTTTTTTTTTCCACATCAAATGAATGCACAGGTCAATGAATGATCTCATTAATCCAAGAAAGTGGGATAGTGAACTTATAGCTCTAGAATTTATAGAAATAATCTCTAATAAAAATTCAGTCAGTCATTCGAAGATGAATTCACTTATATGCCAGTATTTGTAGATGAAACCCTGTAATAATTGTAAAAACCAAGAAGTCAAAAATTTAAAAGAAAAAGCATAATAATTATACAAACATATGTCTAGTGTAATGTGTACAGGAAAATACTAACTTGTATCCCTTAATTTAGGTTGCAACCATTATTACAGAAAAATTATATTATATATATTCTCCGTTGAAGATACTTTGTAACTTTGCAGCCACCCTGTCTATCTGAAATTCAAATGTAACAAATTTGCGGTACTAAAATATTTTTGCAAACCAATCAGTGAAATTTGAAGAAGCCAATTTGTGTGGAAAAATACTTTGACAAAAGCCTACTTCGTGGTTTAATAATTTCTTTAACTTTATAGGACTTCATGGTAAATATTTCTGTTTTTTTTTTTCCTTTTTAACAGTGAAGAATAAATTCTTAGAAATATTTATGCATGGCCTGTTGTATGTTGTAAGCAATTCTTTCTGGAGCCAAATTCCAACTTTTTGAAGCATTTGGCCTTGTGATTTGTTTGTTCTCACAAATGCAAGGCAAACTCGAATATTGTATATAAAAACTTAGATATGCGAAAAAAAAAAAAGAAGCAATATTCCATTTTTATTAAATAAGTATTTTTTATTTTAATAATTAAATTGTCTTTTTTTTTTAAAATAGTGGGAGTATTTTGTATATTAAATAAAACTTATTTCCCCCCCCCAAATAATGAAAATCTATTGTAAGTTACACCTTAGTAAAACCAACTGTACTTTGCATCCCCTGCCTTACCTGTTTACATTTCTCACCAAAATTTGGTCAATATATGGCTATTTTTAAGGGTGTGACAGATGGAGACACAGAATTTTATAGACATATTAGCATAAAAATGTGCTTAATTTTACATTGAATATTAATCACAAAACTGAACATTATACAATGAAAATTTCAGATTGAGATTCACCTAATAATGAGTCAGTGATGTACCTGCACATAAATATCTAAGTGGGGTGATACTCAAGTTTTGAAAATTTACTCATTAAAACAGTTTTCACCATTTCCTTGACTTACAGGAATTAGAACATTTGCAAACTAACAAAATCAAGTATTCACATAACCTTATTTGACATCAGGGTATCACCTCTAAAATGGTATTTGTGTTGCAAATCATGCATTTAATTCTAAGGTGGCACTCTCAGAGATTGTGGTTACAAGTTCCATCAATATTTTAATGAAAAACAAGTTTTTTTTTTGTTTTTTTTTTATAAAAGAGAAACATTAAATTCCACTTTCTTATTAAGTGAAATTAAAGTTGTGATGGCAAAAAGAAGTTAACTCTCATGATATTACATGGTTCATAAATAGAATGTTTTTGATAGCACATCATCATCAGAAAGTGTTAGATGTATAAAAATCTCTGCTTCAATCCCTTTCCTATTGCAATAATGTAGCTATGCCACACCTTTTCTATGAATGTTTTCATGCATAGCAGGATAAAAAGGCCCCCTAACTTAATAAAAACAATTTTATTGTTAAAATGTTATTAAGAGGAAAAGCAATATTTTTTTTTATTTTTTTTTTTATCCTTTCCAGCAGGTTCGAAGTTTTGGTTAAAAACTTTATTCATGTGTGTTTTTTGTTACACAAATCAACAAAATTGATTTGGAAATTCTTGCAAAAATCAATTGTTGGATTTTAATGAAACTTTCAGGACTTATATTCACAAAGGAATCAATTTTTTTTTTTTGTAGAAAATCTTGGTAAAAATATAAATTTCATGAAATTTTGAGAAATGAAATTTTAATTGCAAAGTTTGTTTTAAGTGCAGGACTCCTTGAAGGATAAAATTTATCCTTTTTTTTTTTTTTTTTTTTTTTTTTTCCAAACTGCTACTCGTTTCCCGAAAATCTGCTCAGAATGGTAAAATAAAAATGCAATAAACTATGACATTTAATTTGAAAAGCTTTTAAGATTTATTAGACGACTATTGTGTTAAGAAAAATATTCCCCCCCCATGAATAATGAATTTTTACAAGAATTTTCATTTTTTTAAAATTTTAATTATAATAATTATTTAAATTTATAGTTTCAAATCTTAAAATTCTGCATTACTCTAATTGCATTAAGTGATATTGTTATTAAGTGAAAACTATTTACTAATCAAAAATTGAAAAGCTTAATACAAAATCATATACCAAAATTTAAAAATAATAACCAATTTTTTGTTTTAGTATATAAGCGTTCTGATTTTTATAAGTATGGCCTACCATACACAACATTATCAGAAACATGGTAAATTTAAAGTCAACATTCCTAAAATTATAATGGAGAATCATTTCCAACATTTTTAAGAATATGGAGTTCTTAAAAATTAATGGGGGGGGGGGGGGCTCATGTCATTTTTCTTAAATTATGTTTTACAAATAAAGTCTCCATAGAGCAACAATGAATATATCATCAGCTTGCTATCACTCATTAAACATGGCTGTTGTCAGTTAAAAAACACAGCTACAGTTTGGTTTAAAAAATGTATTTCTGTGTTTTAAACTTAAAGTAAATATTTGTTTCAAATCAGATTAATTATACTTTATTTGAGAAATATTTACTGATAAAGTTTCAGAAATGCATATTTTATTTTGGAAGATTTTTTTACATTGCAATGAAAACGACAAAAAAAAAAAAATTCCAATTTCTGTTTGAAATTGAGTATTTTGCTTATTGGAAATAAAAATGAAAAAAAACAATTTAGGTATCATGAATTAGTGGAGGTACCTACTATAAACAATTTCTTGCTTTCTTGTGATCTACAATTTTCAAAAATTTAAATGCAATGTCAATTGCCATCTTTTTGAATCATGTTCTCTCGGCCTCTCTCTTATTATTTTTTTTCCCCAGGTACTTTCATTCCTTGTGTCTTTATCATCTTGCTTGGGGTGAATTGATGAATAAATAAAAAAATAAATAAATAAAATACAATATTAATTGTTCATGATTTTAATAGTCAAGAAAGAGAAAAAGAATCACGTTCATAAGAAATTCACATAGAATTTCCAAATAAATGCATTCCTCAGTGAAGAACAGGATTCTTCAAATGATAAATAAAACGGAATTTATTAGTTTCTACATTTCCACCCCGCTTCTTTTTTCATTATGCATTATGGCAACTGGTACTTGCCACTTTTTTTTCTTTCTTAGAGGCCATCCCAAATCCATGCTGCCAAATCACAATGCTTGCCAAATATATACAAATACAACTTTTTTGTATCCTTACACAAAACAGCAGCTTTCTATTTTTTTTTCAATGGCCACTACTAAAATAAGTCAAAAATGTTATCTATAACTCAAGAGACAATGGCCTTTAAAAAAAAAAAAAAAATATTGGCCAAAATTAAACAAAGGCTTTTTTTATACATATTCTGCACATTTTAGAACTTGGTGATGATTAAAATTCTCTTCAAACTGCTTCTGCCTGATATCAGCATTTTTTTTTTTTTTTAAGAAAATGCTTCTCTCAATGTTGCCAAACCT